ATAAACAGCTCGAGAATAGTCCAGGTAAAAAAAATGTCGAAACGTTACAACAGGAGTCAAAGATCTTTAGATAAAATTATTATACGTAAAAAGTACAGTAAATATACAAATCAGCTCTATTGTATTTATTGATAGGAAATCTTTTCGTTGTTCCCGTGTTTCGCTCTTTCATTTTTGCATGAGAGAATATATATCAGAGAAGATAAAAAGTTAGAAATATTACAATAACAAGAAATGAAATTGTAATAACCCATAATAAGAAATAAAATTGTAAAAACCGATAGTAAATCTCAGTAAGCTGGCTACAATATCTTCAAAAGTAAAAAAGAAAAGTGCTAATCGATGTGACTTTAGACTACTATATATACAATTAGATTTTTGCTTCATTAAAGTCCAATGCAAATATAGATTTCAATTTCAACAGTTGTGCAACTGTTTAACTGCTTACCGAACAAACAGCTGTTTCTCGAATTATCATCTGGACAATTGTTGAATATATTGAAGCAAAAACATAACCTCTTTTTATAATGTGAGTTGCCAGAGTGTTTATAATGCCTAATTAATATTATAATTAACATTTTTCAAACAATATAAACATTCTAATAACTTTTATTGATTTATTATCATTGGTATTTATAGAAAGAAATTCTTACTATATAATATTTAGCCGAATCGCACAAGCAACTGCAGTTATAAATGTCAAAATTCATAGAGCCGAAAATTCACATCAATTATAATTTATATCATCTTTTATCGAATTATATTTTTGTAATATTAGATCGATTTATCGACACATATCACGTACAATTGTTTTTTTAAACATGGTCAATTATTGATCCTCAAGAAATTTGTCTCACAGGATACTTTAGATTTAAAAAATTCATGTATAAATTATTTAACTACGATTTTTAGTTAACAACTTTACAATAATAAAGATACTGATGTGTTAAAATTAATATGATTAACAGCTTCATTAGTATTTTTATTTTTGTAGATTTGTAATATGTCAAAATGTACCTGATAAGAAGCACGTGCCGTTCTTAATTGTCATATCATACGGCTTCTTGTGATATTCATTTCAAAGATTTTTGCCAAATATATTTACATTTCATTGAATATAGTTAAAGGTATATCAACATTCATCATTTATCAGTTAGCAATAGAACTAATGCAAACGTTTTCCGATATTTTTATGTAGAGATAATATGTTAATGTGTTAACAACATATCCATATAGAAATTAATTTTCAAATTTTGTTTAAAAAACAATTAATCTGTAGTTATGATTTAACGAGGAAATAATCTTTGCTTTTTTTTATAGAACCCATTTATTACTTGCTACATAATTTGTTGTACGAAAGTATTATGCAATTAAGAATAAAAGTTAATCGGAATGAAAAAATTCGCATCCAAAGAATACGTTAGATATCTGGTGGAATGTGCACGAGCAAGCAGATTTTAGAACTTCACTAACCTGCATACTCGACAATTCACACGCATTATCTAATGTATTACGCTTGCTGATGTCGATGACGAATCATTAGTAGATTAGGAGATGGTATATATTTTACTTTAACAAGTCTATAATCTTTCTAAAAAGCTGCGGGTAAGTTATATATAAAATACACATTAAAAAATATTTGTTAAGAAATAAGAAAAACGCGAACAAATGATGTGTGATACAATAGTAAATGATTGTAAATAGTAGTAGGATTGTAAAATAGTTAGTGCCAAAAGAAAATTCTAAAACTAAAATTAGTAGATCTAATATCTAGATAAAATAAAAAACGGACAACGATATTGACGATATAGTAGAGATTTCCGGATGAATGGATTACTTAAGAAGACCCTTAGCCTTGAACAGCTCTCTCATCAATCCTTTCAGATATCCTATCTCGCGCTGCACTTCCTCCAGTTGAGTTTTCAACTTTTCGTTATGCTCGGTAAGCTCGCGCTCCTCGCCTTCTATCTCCTTAATTTCTTGCTTCTTCTTCTGACGGTAACGCGTAGCCGCGTTCTTATTCTGTTCCTTTTTTCGTACTTTCTTGTCCTCGACAGATGGTCGAGAATAAGGTTTGTGACGGTTCTTCGATGAATCATAAACTGAATGTTTCAAACTTTGTCTCTCAGACTCAAAACTCCAATCGGGATCATCGGCGGAATCTTCATTCGAGATGCAACTGCCGCCGGAGCTGGTGCACGGACTCGACGGTGACGGTATGTCCTCAGCGTGTGAGCGAACATATTCATCCACTACCGCTAAGTCATTCGCAACATCCCCGCCGAGCGGACTTAGCGATATATTCTCGGGGTTCCATTGGCGCGGCGAATCGCTTGCGTACAGCGATTCTTCCGCTGGAACGACCATATTGTAAATGGGTTGACCGGCGGTGTACAGAGGTTGAACGGGCTGTAGGGTGACCAACAGCTGCGTGTCAACATTGATTGCTTTATGAGGGGGTGATTGCGGAGGAGTGAGCGTGGAGCTGGTTGGCGGAATGATCTGATGGCAAGCTTCGACATCTCCCAAGACAGTTTCAAATTCTTGTAAAAGAGTTTGCGTGTCATCTTGCTGCTGTTGCTGCACTTTCACGATAGTCGGATAGACGATCGGCGGCGGCTGCGGTGGTTTATTTTGGCCGTTCTCAGAAACGGATATTTGATCGAATATAGGCAGCTCGATCTTCTCTTCAAGCCAATCTGAGAAGGGTTCTGCAAGCAAAACGGATAATAGATTTGATTAGAACGGCACGGCATTTGCGCGCGTTTGTCTTACGGGTTTTCAATCTACGTAAATAATATTGTGCGACTTCTTTGTATAGGGTCGCGCGGCCGGCGCCATAGATTGAAATACGCTCGTCTTGTTTCTAATTGACATCTGCGTATCAGTTTGCGCGCGCTAGGCACGCAGACAACTTCTTGTAATGTATTCGTTTGTAAATGATTCACATGCATTTCTTGGTACGCGCTTTTGTTATAGATAGCATAAGACGCAATTCGCATGTTTCTAAAAAAGTGGCATGAATGGTGAATATATGCAGAATCAGGGGTGATCGATCTCTCGACAATGACGTATTTCCTATAACGTTACATTGTTTACGACATGATATTCAAGAAATTATATTATCCATCTTTTATATAGAGACAATAGCAGACCGGAACACGATATATATTTTTTCAGAAAATTTTTTTCTTATTCTTTCGGTAGTAGTACTTGTGTCCATGTAACAATGTTGTTCTAACAAAGAAGATAAAAAAAAAACGCATATTTTGCAATAATATTTTGATGTATAATATGGATCTTGTTGATCTTAAAATTAAAATCACCTATAGTAGTTAACAGTACTTGTTGACACGTTGCGCGTTATACAATAAGTAGGTGTGGCACATTGATATATACACAATTTCATGGACGTTTACTGATTTAACTAGGAAAACAAGTCTCTCATTTGCAATTTCTTATAATACGATCAACTTCTTGGATATTGCGGTGATTTGATATTCCGCATGCAAAGCAATGTGTTTGAAAAAAAAGAAAAAAAAAATTTTTTTAATATTAACGATTGATGTGGCCTTGTTCAACTTGAATTCAAAGCGCTCTGAAAACGCTAAGAGATATAGCTAAATACCTAAAATGCATTCTTTAATAATATTATAATTTTCGTATGCTCTACGACAGCCGTGACCTATTTTCTTATGAAACTGACCAGTGGTTATTGGATGTTATCTTCATTTAAATACAGAGGGCAAAAGGTTAGATAAGAACATTTCTGTATTCGGAAGTCTCACAAAGGCACACAAAGAACTTTCAAGAGAATAGAGATTCGAAAAATGGAGTAACAATAAGCTTTGGACATCGGAATTAACATATAAATTCGATAAAATATACACGTGTATATATCGTAATTTTTTTGTACGAATTTATTATAAAAATAAAAAGAGCATTGAATTGACTACCATATCTCAAAGCAATTCAAACTTATTTTGTAGTATTCTTACGTCATAATTTCTAATATGTCTTGTAATGTTTTATAACAAACGAGTTAATCGATTCAACAATATGCTAAAACACGAACAAATAGCGAACGAAACCAATGCATAAGACTATTAATTTTTAAATAAGACCTAACGTAAGTATACTTGCGGATCAAAGAGGAAACAAATTGCTGCGTGTATATTCTCATGTATATACGAACGACTCTCTGTGTGTGTGTGTGTGTATATGTGTTTATTTATCGAGCATGTGATTCGGCGTTTTATTTTTCACTTTAAACGCTAGTAGCCTGCGAGTTTTATCTGTCGTCGACCTAACGGGAAGTAGCTTAGTAGCTTACGCAAGAATAGTGTCAAGGTGTTTACTCAAACTTTCCCTGAAAAAATCACACATTTTTAAAAACATTTTATTCAAATTTCTAAGCAGTATCACAATATTTTGAGATATTTATACGCTAATTTCTTTTGAACTCACATGAGAAAAAGTTGAAAACCATTTCGTAATTAGATTTGAAAGATATTGAAAACAGCGAAAAACTTTCACAAAATAAATATTTTGTATTGCATAAAACTTTTCATTCTTTTGTTTCTAAGAAATATAATGAAAGAAAGTTTGTATATTAAGAATACATATACGGTACTTTTAAAGATAAATGTCTACAAATTGAAGGAGGCCTAATTGCCGACTCGACTGATTCGATTTCCATGTGCTCGCAAAACGAAGTTGAAAGCCTCGAACAATTTCAATACTCTGCAAATTGTAGATTTTTTCAGATAGTATACACCTCGAGTGTGAAATCTGCCCAATGTAAGGGGAACACAAACATTCCATCTGGTTGCATAATTACGACAAATAAATCGTTCACTCGCGCATAATTTTATAAAAAAAAAAACTTTTAAACAAAAGAAAAAGATTATTTAGAAAAATGAGCAGAATCGAAGCATTGCAAATGTATAGAGCCATCTTCATAAGATGGAATTTTCTGCGAAAAAAGAAATCGACAAATTTTTGACGTTACGTTCTTTTAAAAAACGCAAACAATGCACCATGTGTAATAAGCTGCATAACAATCGTAAAATAAAATTAATCATTATGCTTGTATTTATAACATAACCAGATAACATATTTGCTCTCTCTCTGCGGCGATTGGGCAAATTTTGCATTATTCATCGGACTTGGAGCAGAACTAGCAAAACATCGAAGTGGGGCGGGCAGGAGGGTGTGTGAAAGAGAAAGGGGGGAGGGAAACCTACCGCTGTAGCATAGGGCAGCCATCGCTTGGTGTTTTCCTTGTTAGAGGAATGGGAGGTGGGAGGCTGAGTGTGTGTTTAATGTAGCTGTTTGGGAAAGGCCGATGATTCCAATATGATCGTTCCTTCGGTAGCGCCGACGTAGCGCGCCACAATCCGTATGACGACGAAGAAGAACGCGTAATTCTTCCACGTGTGATTGCCCTGGATATTTTCCGATACTCAGCGTCTTTTCACGAGCTTCTGGGAGTTGACGATGATCTCTCGATTCCACGTGTAACGATATGCGAACTGCATGCTATTATACAACATTAGTACACTCCACCATCGAGATGCCGGGTCGTTTTCGTGGATCGACTTTAGAGATGCCAGTCTCGTAAGATTACCGGCGATGCGTCTCCGTTTTCGTCAGGGCGCACCGATGCCCATGCAAGATCGCTCACGCGCTCCGCCGAATCGGCACAAGGGGGGGAGTGGGGAAGGGCGGTCGATCGGTCTTCGCTATTCCGCAGATGTTTCGCGATAGCTCGTTACCCGTCTCTTCAGGACGAAGATAACCGGCACTGTCCTTAAACTCGCGCGGGATTCTATTGTCTCTGTATCGATGGACGAGTCACGATGAGCCGTGCGAGCACCGGGATCCCGAACTTGAATTTTCCCAAACACGACGTAAGGCCTCCGACACAACACGTGCTTCCGCTGACGAACGGTACGAGGTTCGTCGCAGTTTCGCGGGAATCACCTGTCGCGCGCGTGCCGTTTTACACTCTCTTCAGAAAGGAGCAAACACAAAGAGCATGAGGAAGTTGCGTGCCTCCTCCTCGTGAAACGGACTTGCGGGACGACTTCGCTCGTAGAGAGGAATCGCGGTGACTCCACGGCGATGAGAAAAATGCAATTTTCGTGTAAACAGGCACCGTGTGACAGGCGAGATATCCAAGTATCACGAGGCAGGGGAAGATACGGTCGACGCAGTCACAGACACTGACAAGAGAGATATTGAGAACCCTGTGGACGGGCGAACAATTAGATACTGATGTAGCGCGACTGCTCCGCGAACGGCGATCGTACAAATCGTTCTTTACTGGCCTGCATACTACCGCGGAACCACTCCTGCTTATCTTTGGACTTTCCCCTCCGTCGCCACTACTCCCTCTTCTCAATCTCGCTGTTAACACCGTCGTCACCCCTCTATCGGCCGCAAAGTTGAAGCCATTTGCGTAGAGGTTAACCAGTTTGTCCCACTCTTTTTTGTAGAAAAAAAAAGTGGAGGAACGCGGGGGAGCGACGCAAGGAGAGAGAGGAAGAAAGAGAGACCAAGTGTGTACCGAGTGATACTGGCGAGAAAGAATGAAAGTGATAGGGGAGTACGAAATCGAACGAAAATACCAGTTCTCACATTTTTTTGCGCGCAGCGCGGAAAAATGCGAAAAGTAGGCGATTCTTAAGTTAATGCGCATTCACGTGCGTCTTGTCGTGTCCTTAGCCGCAACTCGCTCTCGATTATATTTACGCGCGTGTGGAGATTGCGAAGTCTCCTCTCGGTAGCATACGGCAACTTTTTGTAACGCGCTCCTCCTTCATCGAGATATCATATCGTTGATTTACGACGACGCGGCCGTCTCTGCTGAATTGTATTTATAACAACATGCGTTTAATACACTGTCGAGAATGCGATTGAGATTTCTTACTGCTCAGATACGATAATATGTGAATTGTCTGGCATGTAATTATGAACACGAGGATTCGCGATTTAACTCTAGGTGCGAGTTTTTGCTGCAATTCCGAGCGCGACTATTTCACATTCAATAATTGCATTCTTGTATTATTGCATGTGATTATACAGTAAAGTTAATAAACGATTACCTATTGTAGAGGTAATTTCTAACACTAGTATTTAACTTGTTAGAGGCGTTATGATAGATGTAAGTTTTTGACAATTAATATTGTAGTGTAAAATTTGTGAATTTTCCCGTTAATTAATAGCTTCGATAAGACAATTAACGCTCGTTACTGCAGACATTTTTCATAGTATGAGAAATATCTGTATCAATGTTTGTATGTGATAATAAGAGCAAAAAAATAAATTTTGTCAAGAATTTGTCTGGCTATTAATACTGTTTCAAGTCCGACTAGCACATTTAATGGAATTTTCCAGAGCAACGAACTGAAGTATTTTTATCGCGCTGTTTATCCCATTTCCGATATGATAGGTTTTAATAACAGATTCTTTGATCAATTTGTAAGTTTAAATTTGAGTGATTTTTACTTGCAATTTTACGAGTTTAATTCAACTTTTAATTGTGGAATTATTTAAGAATAAAAATTAAAAAAATTACAATGTTTTTTTCGAAATTTTTGCTTATAAAAAATAAACTCCAAATTTGTCAAAGCATTTGTTATTAAAATTTAACGCAATAATGATATAGAATCCAGTATAAAAATTTGAGTCACGTCAATAATTATGCCAGATATAAATTTGCATCAGAAAATCATGTTATGCATGTCATGTAAAAATCTAGATAATCCAAAGTTTTAAAAGCTGTATTTCCAGATAAGTATTCTTGTATTACGTTAACTCTTAAAATTGATAAAGTTCTTAATTTTTAAAGAAACTGAAAGAAAAGTAGAGAAGAGTTAATTTGTAAATATTAATCATAGATTAATAATAATCTCTATTTAATTTTCTAATTATTATTGTATAATAAATATATATAAAATTACAGGTTCTATTTCCTTATATAGCTCATTATTGACTTGTCTTGTTATTATGTAAGAACTTAAGAAGATAAGACTACTCATACAACTTTTGAATATTCATTCTTTCATGTGTGTTAATCATGTTCTAATAACAAGATATTTATACTGTATTTGAAGATACTTAAGACCAAGATTTAACATGCCATTATTATTATTCAGTTTCTTGTTAGAAAGAACATAAAATATTATTGGATATTATCATTAATCTGTTAAATATTGACTAACAAATCACAGAAATTAAAGATAAAACAATTACCTTCTTTGATCCATTCGTCCAATTCTTCTAAGAGTTTTTTAGCTACTTGGGCACGGGAGGGGTGATGATCATCATACATAACAGGCTCCGCAGCATTTTTAGAAAGTTCTGTAGACTTGTCATCGAATAAAAGCCAATCATTATCAATCTCTAGCGGCGGTGTCCCACTGGGAGACACCGGCTCGTACTTCCATAACCACATCTCCTGATCTTGACTCGACATTTTCAATGCGAATCAAACCGAAGGGTATTAAAGAATGATGAAAAGAAATTTGTGTCGGATTAGCGACGTAGCTCGTGATGAGCGCCATATTGGCCCTGAAAAATAAGAAATTTGACATTGTAAGTACCTAACATAATAACTGTCACTGCTGATATTGATATCAATACATTAAAGAGGATGACACTATCGATTTTCGAGAACCGAAAGACAGTCTTGCAAAAGATCTCAAAGCGATTAGAAGTTTTGGAAGAAGAGCTAGTGAAGTGAATAAAAGAGGACTGATAAGTGCGAGGAAGATCGAGTGAGATCAGACCAATCATTTTGAGAGACATTAATCAGATTTTTATTAAATATTTCTTGTAACCGTTATCAATTTCGTGTTCTACTTTTTCTTTTTGTTATTATTTTTGAATAAAATTTTGTTGAACATTATAAGCGCTTACAATATTAATTATATATAAAATAAAAAAAAAATATTTCTACTTTTCCACTTTTAGTTCGTTAATTTTGTTTTTAAAGAGAACATAGATTTTTAGCTCAGTTTCTTTTCATTCATTATTCTCAATTTAATCAATTTGGATTAAAAGGCTAATTAAATTTACATCTTAATGATTAATAGTAAACAATAACATGAATGAGAAGATGCCAAGTTTCGTCCTAGAAATCATTGTATATCAATTATTCGCCGCTTATCTTCGTGGAAAATGATTTTTTTAAAACACGCCATTGGACTCGAAGTGAACACCAGTTACTCATAAACAGTTCGTTTCACGTTATGACGCAACACGAGGCTATCATCTGGCAAGATCTTTCGACTAGTCTGAAACCGATAACGCAACTGGAATACGTATATGTATGTGATGTATGAACATAATAAACTAAAGGGTAACGAAAAAGATTGCGACATAAGAAGACATAACGATTTGACGTAGTCATTAGACGCGATGACTCACAAGATGGCCAGAGGCTTTCTTCGTACAACGCAAGAGAAATCCGAACACGACACGAAATATGAATATTCACAAGAAAATCAGTATTACTTACTCCATGATTTCTTAAGGATCGACGGCACACTTGCGTGTGCAAGCTCTTCGTTAAACTACAGATTCATCTTGCTCGTATTTTGAAACGTGGCAAAAATTTTAACGTCTTCCTTACAAGCTTCATGGATGAGGAATGTGAACGTACCCCGAAACAGCCCGAGCTTCGATCGACGGGATCACGTGATTTTTCCCACCATTCCTCGTGACCTATACTCCTCGCGATGTGATTGGTCAACAATATTGTTACTAGCATTCTAATGCATCGAGTAAATAGTCCATTTTCTTATTTTAGGAGTAATTTAGCGTACTTATTGTTTTCTTTCTTCTCTTAAGATTCTGATTAATACGCTGAACGGATAATATTTTATTTAAAATTTGATATATCCATGAAATGAGAAGCTATATTTGAACTGAACTTAAGGTATGTTCTTAAATGGGTTATAACGCTCGAGAGTCACATGTTTGTTATTCAACACTCAATGTCATGAACGCCTTTTCGCGTTCCACTTGTTTAACCGTGCTATTGCCAGATAACGATACGGTAATGAATACTTGCATGCGATGGATCGTCTATAATTATAGATAATTGATACTTTGGACGCGATGAGATGTTTGTGGAGGTAAGTGATAGATATTTTGAATACGATGAGAGGTATTTCTGAATAATTTAATGGCGACAGAATATTGGAATATATAATAAACAAAATGTTAGTAATGTTTAATAAGAAAAATCAAATTTGATCCAACCAAATTTGTTGTTAATCTGTCAATATTGTTAAAATATGACTAGTATAAAATGTAGAGAATATAATATATAGAGAGAAAAGTTAAAGAAAAAGATTCTATAATTTTCTACTAATAAATACATGTACAAAAAGCTCCACAACATAACTTATTCATCTATTTGCAATCAAATCTAACGAGTGATCGATGTAATGCAATATAAATGAATCAATTGAAGCATCGTATATCGTTCATCATTAAGCATTGTACATTCATAAGCAGCATTAAAAATAATTAGTGCAGTAATAATCAGAGTATAACTAGTAATTAGTAATCATCTATCAGTAATAATCAATTATCATTAGTTTTCATATATAATATTTCACAAAAATGTTTGTAAATGTTGAAAAAGCATATAATTTTGTATGTAATATTATTGCAATTTTTGTTCTTTCTTTTGTTTGAAATAATCTTGTCTAAAATTTTCGTTCAAATTTTGTCCGACTTTTGTTCTGACCCATACAGGTACTATTAAAGTAAAGAATTTCTGAATACTATGAGACCAATAGCCGGTGCTGACGTCTATTTTGCCAAGAGTGGCTATCGCATTCCTTGCATAAGTTGTGGCGTCAGGCACAAATATGTTTGTAACCTGCAATTTTTGATAAAAAATATATAAATTAGAATACAAGCAACTGCAAGAAAATGCAAGCGTAAAACATTGAAATATATAAAGAATTAATGAAAAAGTTATGAAACAAGAAATAATTAATAATAAATTTATAATAATTTATATGTAGCAAATTAATATTGGATAATTGGAAATATGCTTTGTACCTGAAGTCTGGGGCTATACGCGTTCATTTTGGTGTTGACGAAAAGAGGCGACAGATGTTGAATGGTAATGCCGAATCTGGAGTATTCCGCTCTGAGCGCAGCGGAAAAGTTTTTCATGTACGCTTTTGTGGCAGCATATACCGTCATTAACGGCAGCGGTTGAAACTCCGATCCGGAAGAAACGTTAACAATCGCACCTTTTCCGCGTTTCTGCATCTCTCCGATAACTAACCGCGTCATTAATGTAGTCGCACCCACGTTCAACATAATAATGTCCCACAGATCCGACTCGGGCACCTCTCCGAGATACATGGGATATTCGTACATTTTGCCTACATTGTTGACTTAAACATAAATTGATTATTTCATTATTCATTCAATTATTCAATTGTTTAAAGAAATGTTAGAAGCTGTCTCTGTTCTTAAAGAACGAAAAAGCAACTTTATTTTTTTGATTAGTAAGATCCCAGACAGCACGTATGTCCAAAATCGGGACATAAGACGGCTTAAAGACATCAGTAAGACACCTTTTAGACACGGTATCTAAAAGACGTCTTAATGATGTCTTTAAGATGTCTTATGTCCCGATTTTAGACATGTGTGCTGTCTGGGATATGTCATTCTAATAAAAATTGACATTTTTTTTAAAGATGAATGGGATAATTGAATTTATTTCTGAATCATATTACACAGTTTTATGGGCTTATAATTTTATTTGGTATAATCATTAATTTTTAATTGTGCAACTTTGTAAGTAACTTTTGATGCAATTAGGCAATAGCTATTACCTAATGTCCTAATGGCTAATTGAGATATCCGGAGTACGGAAAAATAAAAAAAATGCTTTAAGATACTTCAAGCCTTCAAAGAATTATGGCTAAAATAATAAATAAATAAAAATATTTTGTTACCTAGTATACCGACAGGTATATCTTTCAAATGAGGACGAATCTTGAGGAAAGCTTTTTCTCCTTCAGCGAAATCCGCCGTTATAATTTCTACTTTGATTTCGGGATTTAACAGTAATATCTCTTGTTTCGTGGACTCAAGTTTTTCTAAATTTCTGCTAATTAGAATTAGATTCATGTTCTTCATTGCTAATTCTTTAGCATAAGCTTTACCGATACCATCAGTTGAGCCAGTGACAACTGAAATATTTATGGTTTTAATACTTTTAGAATATAAATAATTGGAAAAAATTGGAAAAATTAAAAAGAGTTAAAAAAAACGTACTTTAATCGTTCGTACAACAATGTCTTATGTTAAAAAAAGTGAGGTAACAAGCCTATTCTAAAAAGTCCCTTTTTTGCACACAAAAAATTATAACTTGGAAGACGCATTCGAAAGGTCTCCAAAAACAGGTCAATTTTTGCAAAAAAAATTTCATGCTATGACGCACCATTTTGGAGCTATTATAGATCCGATATTATCGGGAAGGACAAAGAGATGCCCGTACAAGAAGAGAGATGCCGTATAATGCCCATTTTCACCAATGTAGATTAACTTTAATCTCGGTTCAACTTATTCTTCATCTGAAGCAATCTTGAACTTTGGTCCAAAAGTTTGTGCAAAAAGGAGATTTTCGGAGCCTCACTCTTTAGGATTAATTCAACTTTAAACATACTGAAAAAGATCTTGTTAACATATTGTTGACCGCTCACGAGTGTACTCGTATTTTTGTACACAAGCGTTATTGATCGGCCACGAGTATACTCGTATTTTTATTCTATTATGAAAATAATCGGTGACGCGCGTTTTTGCATAAAATAGTCGGTTAACAATGTGTTAAAGGAGTGAAAGTTCGATATTTATAAATATTTTTTAATAGACGTATTATCGCACGGACGAAATTAGCTTAGATTCTTTGGTACACATTAATTTCCAATTTTAATTAATTAATCATTTCAGGCCTTTTTTACTTTAAATTTTAAATAATAAAAAATTCTACGCTAAATCTATTTTAGCTTTTATCCATCAAGCAATCTTTTTGATAAGATATTGATAAGATTTTCTAAGATTATTTTTACATCTTTTTTTTCATCACATTTAAAAACTTTCATTATATATAAAAAATAATAAAAAAAAGATAAGTTAAAAATATAGAAATTAAAAATTATCAATAGTTTAAATAATATTTAAATAGAAAGTAATATTTTAAAATTTAAAGAAAATAATTTATTGAACTTACCAGCCCATTCGCCGAATTTTGTTCGGAAATTAATTGGTTTTTTATCATATATCTGTATGATAATTTCCCATAGAATGCGCAGTATTTTTGTAATAGGCTCAAGTAGAAGCCAAAAAGCGATTAAGCTGACTAATAGCCAAAATGCTATTAAGAGAAGCATTTTTCTTCGTTATATTTTGTGCTTTCTCTTAGTTGCTTCAGAATAAATACTGAAACAAAATTATGGAAAAAATTATTTTCTTAATTTTTTTATTATACAAAATTGAAACATCGTTTTTAAGCTTAAAATGAATGATATATAATATAATATTAATTATTTTTATTAATATATTATTTGTCACATTATTATTTATACGTAATATTCTGAATTTATTATTATTTAAGGTAGTTGTCTCACGACAGTATGATCTAAAAGTTAAGTTTTTCTTAAAAGAAAAAAAAATGGTGTGTGGAAGATAGTCACTCGATTTTAGACGTAATTAACTTATTTCGACAGGTATGTTTTCAATTCTCACATTTTGAATATGTTTGTAATCGTTGATCTGATATATAATTTTTTCGACGTTTAAAAATTTGATTTGTTATTGAAGATGATCGCAAGGACGATCGAAACGTTTAACGAATAAAGGATAATCTTACATTACTCCTAGAGAAAAAAGAAGTTTTCTTTTTTTTTTATTAAAAAACCCATATTGACTCTGAATCTCGTAAATTTCCTGAATTGTAAAAAAAAACTCAAATAATAAAGTTTAAAGATATAGCGTTACATATTATTTAATTTATTTTACGAACAATTTATTACTAAAAAGGATTAATTAGAAGTTTAATAATAATTCAAAAGTAATAACTAATAAATTAATAATTAATAATTAAAATTAAAAATATGACGTTAACCTTAATATGGTGTACACGTGTTAAAGGTACTAATTACAATTGAGATTATCTCAGTTTCTAAACAGTAAATTTTTTTTATTGCAGGATTACTTAGATATTACTTCAATAAAGATATAGTGAAAATTTGAATCAATTTGTCAGAAATTCATTTTATGAGACAATTACCTTAAATTTTAGTTAATTTAAGTTTGTAGAGAGAAATATAGATGTGCTCAATTAAACCTTAATTAATTTTAATTATTATTAATGAAAATTATCACATTATTGTTTCAAACTTCAAACTATGTATGTAATCACGATGTCATAAGAAAATAATGTATGCATGACATTCTTGAGATTTCAACACTTAAAAGTGCATTATCTGACTATGCAATTTCGACAGTGTTACGAAAGTAAATTGTTTTGTTAGTGGCGCAATTATGTTACCGGATGCATTATATTTCTTTTGCTACTCACTCTTTCGTCTGTATGTGATCTCGATGCTGACTATTCGTACACAAGAGTTCGTACTTAAAGAACGAAAGCTGAAGGCAGACTAAACGACCTCGGTTAGGTGATTGTCCAAAAGGCCAAGCCGAGGATCGCTTTCTCTATCTACCGCGAATCTTGCAGTTTTGCACGCAATTCTTTCTTTTGGTATTTAGGTCAAATTATTTTAATAGTATGACATCTCGCACTACAAATAAAATATCAAGATTATCAAATAGTGGTTTTATTTATCACAATTGTTGTTGTGTCAAATGTTGTTAAGTAAAATACACGATCTATTGTAGATTCTGTAGACTGGACAAAAATGGATGATGTTTTTGACGATAGATGTTTTTGGAGGTGATATCATATCAGAATCGATTTATCAACATTTAATTAATTAATTTTATATTTGTCCAATCTACTGGATCTATGATAATAAATTTTATGTTGTTTTACTTAACAATAAGTATTCGTGCATATATTGTAATATTTTCAAAACTTAATTTGAAAACAGAATAAAGTAAGATAAAAAATTAAAAATTTAATGTCAAAACAAAGAGAAAAAAAATTTGCTGCTGTTGGGGCAATCAACGCATGTACTGCTGCAATAAAACAAGTTTCTTTTCTTATTTGGGTCTGCCAATGCCATATACTTACAGTCAGTTTTGCATTGCTTACGCGTTCACTTGGTACGTAAACGTGTCTTTTGATCCTCTATTACGCCTTCCAGCTATTTAATTTACTCATTTGTCAAACTGACCAATGTCTGTTCAGACTAGCTATATTACGTCACAATATGTAATTTCACTTACATTGAAAACTGCAAGTATCTATCCGTCTTTAATTTCTCAAATTTCTGAAATATAATTTGCAAAAAACCCTTCTTTTCCAATTGCAAGTTTGAAGTTATTAATGCCTCCACATTTACGCTAAAGAAGTTGATTGAAGAATCCGACATTAAAACAACTCTTGGTAGTTTTAAAAAATGTTTATAATCTTTGTCGAATGTTATAGATAAAGGTAAATAAAATTCCAGTTGCCATTAAAAAGGCCAAAAATGTATTTATGCAGAATTTTTTGTGTAAATTACGTAATAAAAATTACATTATGTAACGAGATCGTTCACACAACAGAAAAACATTTCATGTAAGATCCTCGTGTGACACAAAAGTGAAAGCACGATTCAGAGTATAAAAGGGATCAAAAAAGAATTAGTTATAAGTGATGATTAATGCGTAAAATATAAGTAAGAATAAATATTGAAAGAAATAATATAAATAGATTTCGATTTGATTTTATAATGATGTTTGATGTTAGAATATTTACCTTATTTTATTTGAATAAATTTTTGCAACTGCTTTAATGCGAGCAATCGGACGGCTAGTTAAGATTCGTCGATGATCGATTTTTCATAGCTCTTCACGAAGATGGATAAACCGTCACTGGCGCGAACTAATCAATTATGTATTTGTGTATTGTGTAATTTACATCATGCGATCTTTGGTTTAATACATACACGAATGAATGGGGTCGAAGGTGGGGAAGTCCGTGAATATGGTCCGAGGAGTCGAAGAAAGATGAACCGATTTGCGGCGATCGAAAAACGAACGAGGACGGAAGAGCAGAGGCGCGCGCAGCGTCTTTCACTTCGGACACCGACACATCTTCGCTTCGTTCCTGAGGGCCTTCCAGGCGACCCAAGACGATCACCGGCTGTTACCTAGATCGGCTGCTTGACCACTCGTGTTCTCCTTACAGCGCACGGTATTCGCCGATGCGTTGTCGAGCGCGGACCCGGTTCACCGCTGTCATTCTTTCCGTCCGGAGTTTCGGAAAAAGAAGTGAATTCGGAAGGAATCCGAAGGGACTTATTGGACTTCGCAAGAAATCGCCTGCCTCGATTTTTATCAGCGTGCTGTTACATTTGGAAGGTCAAGATCTTCATGAAATTTTGGAGTACGTCGGTGCGCTCTGATCGCGCGCTCCGAACACGCGAGTCGAGATATTCGCGGAGTACGTCGCTCTGATTTTGAAGACTGTTCTGTCCACCCGATTGACGGATTACGCAGTAAGTCACAAACACTGAACTTTTTTATGTTGTATATGATCCTGTTGTAAAGTACATTTTATAACTAGAAAAATAAGATATATAATTATGCGCCAGGGAAATGCGTAGAAGAGACGCGGCTGCGAATCGATCGCGATCAATCTCTCGGACAGTCGACTACAAGTCGTGACCTCGCAACCGACAGAACTGACTGTGTTATCGGGGATACTGCGTGTGTCATCGTGAAAGCGAATTGTCTGAATGGTAATAAACTTGCTAGTCACTCTCTTCGTAATATAAATTTTTATCCACGCTTATGAATCTATTGTGGCTAATTAATTGAAATCAAGTATAAGATGTGCGAAATTAAAATAATCGCGCATAATATATTGCAAAATATCTTAATACTTATTACGAAATACATGTATACAAAATTTAAAAAAACTTATTCTTTGCAACTTTCATAAATTAAAATACGGCGAAATGATATCAATTTGTGTCATACTTTCTATAGCACTTCAGTCAATTTAATTCAATGCGCTGATTATTCTTCGTTATGGACTTTGTTCTATAACAGTCTGCGTAGTTTTTTGCATGCATCACGGATACGAGACATTGCGATTACATTTTATTTTTCAGCAAGATGCTGATTAGTTACGCTTGCCGCGGATATATTCGGATGATATTATGCAGTTTCTTTTTGTCGTTTTTGCCATTTTACGCAAAATTGCTTTTTGTTGCAAAAACGTGGCACGTTTATCGACGTGATAATTTAATATTATTTAATTAATTAAAATATATTATAATAAAAGTTTATTTAAATATATTATAATAATTTTTATACATATAATACTATTTTTAGTAGGAGATGCTGTTGATTGACGGTTTTTATCGAAAAATCTATTTCTTATTTTATCAAAATTCTTGTAAAAAATTTTATAAATTTATATCTAAAAAAGATAAAAATTTTCATTCACAATTCTGAATTCAGGCATTTTTGCGGTTTTGTAATATGACTTCCACAAATACGCTTCATTCAGAAAATACATAAAGAAAAAAAATTTGTCTGCATTGTAATATGATTGCACTTAAGTGCATTCTTTGTGCCACGACCGTAACATTGGCCTAGAATATTATATTGCAATTCATTCTTCATTGTCTGTATTAAAGTAAAAAGACATGCGAAGGAATATAAACAAGAATATAGAAAAAAAAGAAAAGACTATTTATATTTAATGCTTCTACAAGTAATTCATAAAAGAATACATATAACATTGCCGAGGTAGTGTAATAATTGCGCTGCTTTATAACGTAATATCGTCAACAGCGTGAAAACAGCTTACAAAACCTGGAAAGATTGTTATTAGAAACACCATCAAACGTTGACTCTCGCTAATAATCATTTCATTTCTTCTCTTAAGTAAACCAGGTTTTCGTGTCCGCATTGATCGCTGCAACCACCTACTTACGTTTACTGTGTTAACGATTAGAATATTATTCTTACACGCCTGTTGTTCCTTTTTGAAATTTTGCGATAAAATATTACGATAATCGGAATGAGGAATTTTTTTTTATTTAATTTGTTTTACAACAAACAGCAATAAATAATTGAAATTTTCTTTTCGTGATTATAGAAGCACAATGTGTTTGTTTCATTTTTATCTCCGTCGATTTTATCTCATATTCTCGACATAACAAACCATAATCTTATCTCATAGAGTTTATTCACACGTATATTCGTCTAGCTAAAACCCAGTACAAGAACATATACTCAATAAGTAAAATGTTAGCAATGTTAGTAGGTTGATACCAAATTTAATTGAATTTTTATCCAATTCATTATTTAGGTTGTAATTATAACATAATGATGTTTCAGGGGAAAAAAACTTTGCAAAACAAACTGCTTTTTTTCTGTGCAGAATCTGATTTTTACAATCTGTGCGATATTTTGTAAGGAAGTTCAATGTCCGCGACGGACAAAAGAAAACGATGACAGGATGTCGAGTCTGGAGGATAATTTTGTTCGCTGTTCTTGTATGGGAGACGACCGCAGATTCAAACACGAACGTCGAGCAAATCTCCGCAAATGAAGCCGGCAAAAAGCCGTTTGAAGCGGACAAATACTTTTATTCCTGGACAGGGCCAAATGCGCTGGCCAGATCGGCCTTGGTGGAGCGACAGGAAAGGCTGCAATATAACTGTGAGCTTGAAAGTAACGAGGTCGACGCGTTAAATCCAGAATCATTTAGGAATATTCTCGTTGACGACTCGCATGAATTGCTCTACTGCTACGTGCCAAAGGTGCAAAATTGAATGTTGCCTTGTTATTAAGATCACTTAAAGTAGACCATAATAATTTACAGTAGTAATAAAATCCGGTATTTCACATCCGGTTCTATACATGTCAAAACTATTACAATATTACAAATTGCGTTCCTATACATTCTAAAGCGAAATAATTTTTTTTTTTTAGGTGGCTTGCACAAATTGGAAGCGCGTGCTTATGATTGCGACCGGAAAATGGCCCGGTAATGATCCTCTAGAAATACCGGCCGATCAAGCTCATTCACCGGGTACTTTTCAACGATTAAGCAATTACACGCTACCTGAGATAGAGAAGAAATTGGCGACGTACGATAAATTGATTGTCGTGCGACATCCTTTGGAGAGGCTTTTATCGGCTTATCGAAACAAATTGGAGACCAAACATGAGAAAAGCGCGAAATATTTTCAGAGTCGTTTTGGCAAAAAAATTGTCAAGGTAAACAACCTCACATTTAATTTATGTTATTTATTTTTTAGACGTATTTAATTTTTATTTTTTGAATATCGATTTCAATTCTACGTTACATATTCATCATTTTTATACGTTAACTTACACGTCATAACTGTATATTGTGATAGCTTATGCAAAGCTGAATCAATAAATAATTCGTGAGATTGTTCCGATATATTTTTTTTGGAATATGCTGTGAGTTCAATTACATTATATCAATGAGCAAGAAAAATAATTATGACGAGTAAAAAATATTTATAATAATAATAAAAAAATCAAAATAAAATAAAATAAAATAAATAAAAATAATTAAAATAAATATTTATTTATTTAGACATTGTAAAATCTAAAATATCTCTAATAATTCCATTAAATTCAGAAGCATCATATAATTATTGCTTGCTCGGAGCACGATTACGTAATTAATTGCACGCTGTTCTACTTTTACAACATTAACCATTAATAGCAGATTATGTATGTAAATTAAGATGCATAACTTATTATAATACAATGTTTAATAGCATTAAATACAATATTTTTGTTACAGAAGTACAGACCAAACGCCAGCGAGAAGTCTTTAAAAAACGGCGATGACGTAACGTTTCGCGAATTTGTTGATTTTGTTACCGATGATTCTGAGAATGGAACTCGGAATGAGCACTGGAGACCAATCTACGAGTTATGCCAACCGTGTCTAGTTAATTACAATCTTGTGAGCAAGTACGAGAGTTTGGTCGAGGACGCCACAGAAATTCTCGAACGGATAGGCGTCACGTCTGTGAGGTAAGTGTACGACATAATAAAACAATAACTTTGACAGAGTCCGTTTTGCAAAATATCTCACTGACAAATAATTATATGCGCAGCTTTCCTCCTAAGCCGCCAAGTTACGAGCCGACGTCGAGGAAACTGGATAGGTACTATTCTACGCTGAGTTACAAGCAGCTTCGTAAGCTGGTGGATCTGTACAAACTAGATTTAAGGCTGTTTGATTACTCGTTGGAAGACGTGCTGGGATTTTCCTTGGCTTAAATCGCCGGTACGTATCAACAGAAACAGATGTACGTGATATAATGGCCAGATCGTTGATGCTTGAGAGACTTCTTGCTTGTTTAAAGTCGACATAATAAGTATAAGTGAACAAGACAGTTTGCACGTTAGGATGAATAATTATTATCGCATTTTACGAATACACGTACACACAGGAAATTTCAAATTTGGATTTCAACGACAAATTCTGTGAGCGACTTAGTGGAAATTTTATTTTGCAGAAGCTTCGTACTACCTCGTTATTATACAGCATCGCATCATAAAATAACTATTTTTTTTAATTAATCATTTATGTGAATAACACGCAAGATAGAAATATTTTATTGAAAGATACTTTCAATATTAAGCCATGATAAAATAATTCAGATAGTAGAATAGTAAAGTTCTATAACAATAAAAATATTGACGGAGTAAAAAAGGCAATAAGAACCAGGTGTCAGTGCGCAAAAAATAATGTATTGTCAATAAGAATGCAGGATTTATAAATAAAAATAATAAAAAAATAATAATAATACAAAAAGAAAAGGCAGGAAATGAAGATTTCTTGACCTCAGTCTTCCGAAAATCTAAGCCGTACACATGGCTTATGCGGGAACATATGGTTTACATCTCCGACTCCGAGAAAGGTTCGGAAGTCGGACCAAAACGTTTCTTGGTTTTGTTTTTTGTCAAGTCTTGTATTTTCATTGATAATAAATTGTTTTTTGTGCATTGAGAGCCGCGCTTTTCGTTCTGATTGCATTTTTTGCTTCGTTTAATATTTCAATTCAGATAGCGTTATCAGTATAAACAATCAAAAGATATAGAAAGCTAAATAAAATAAAATTAAAGATAAGATGAATTGTTTTATAAATTAGAATATTTAATTATGCACATCTTTAATTTTACAATTTTTGTTTTTTTTATATAAAATTATATGTGGAATTTATTTAACTTATTGTTATATTTGCTCAGTTGTGTTATTTTTGATTTTTAATTGTTAATTATAATTCATATAGACGTGTACTCTCTTAGATCTACGTCAGAACTATTTATTTTTAAAATTATAGTATTTTAAATGTATAGCGGAGTTTCGTGCCAAGAATTTAAGAACATTAAAGCGAATAAAAGAACTCGTTTTGCTGTGCCAAGAAATCACCGTTGATTTTTTCAAGTTTTGTAGAAATTATATGCCGCAATCTTTATATTAATCTAAATTTACAGAAGAAAATTTTATTTTATATAAAAGATATCTTTTATTTATATGTATGTACAGTATTTGCTATACGGTATCGCAATTTAATCCGTAAAAGTTTCTTTAACTCTATTTTCGCGAATCGTGTTATACGTGTTCAGAATTCTTGCTTCGAACACGGCCATATTTGTGTGCCTATGTAGATATATTAGCATGTAATTATATAATAATTACATGCAAGAATGCATTTGCTATTATTTCTATACAAAAAATGCGTAGAAATTGGAAGCTGCGTTGTTACCGATTAATCAATCTCCTATCGATATGTATGTAGCATTGTTAATAGTACAATGTATTTAATAATAAATTGTAATTAAAATATTTATGATGTAATTCGTAAATTAGTGAAACAAAAGTACCTGATATTTCTCGCGAAGATGTTGTTATATAACTCAGCTGGAGTTCAGGTCGGAGGTGTTCGTACGCTCTATCATTCCGCCTTAACCGAGATTGATGTTTGGCTAAATGAGTTAAATTTAGACGAGAGCTTGAAAATGATGGACGGCCTTCTATATTGGCACACATCAGCTGAAGAGTGAAAGCTTAATCGCGCGCAACAGTTCTGGCGGTCGGCCGAACGAATTTCGGACGTAACATGGTGCATCTTTACAATCCGTGTTTATAACCGGACCGGCACACATCGGTTTCGCAACGATCGTGAACCTGTCAATACTTATCGTGCCCCGTATTATCTGGGATCGATCGAGCGGCGTTTTTTTTCTCAGGAAGTTACGCGTAACATCCACAATGCCTTAATATAACTCGAGGTAGCGGAACTTGTTGCTCTCTGAGCAACATTTGCCGATGGTGGGATCTCATCTTCTACCAATCCTGGAGCAGAAGATGCTTGCGGGAAGGTGCGAACGAATGAGTGGGGGTGGTGATGCGGTTCCTGGAGGAACTTACAGGGATCACAGGGGGTCGCAGCGTATGGATTCCTGCGCAGTGTGATCTAGTCTACGATTGCATGCAAAGTGGCGAGGAACGCATTCTTGATTTCGAGTGATTTCGAAGATAAAAAGGGCACAAAGTGTTTTTCGCATAATAAAGTTTACAATTAAAGATAAAATTCCGAGCGTTACACAACGCCGAAGTTTGAACACGTTTGCAATTAGTTGGTGATAGTCTAAGCATTCGTGAGTATCGCCGTTATTCTTTGAACGAAGACCGATCGATCGCCTACAATGTGCAATTAATAAAAATATTAATGAAAAATATTGCAATTATCTCTAATCATTAATATCAATATCGAGTTTTATAAATTACATCAACAATTACAAATTTATTTTTGCCAGTTTAATGCTATTTCAGAAATTCATGTAAATTTGAAAAAAAAAAACGATCGGTCGATTTTTTGTTTATAAAAAAATAAAAGAAAACATTTATCAAATAATAATATATTTAATGAGCAAATATATGTAATAGTAGAGTGTGCTGTCCACATCGGCCAAAAAATGCCACAAGCTCACGAGACGCAGAACATTCTGATGACATATTTCATCCTTATTCTTCTACTAATCTCACTTTGGGTGTTATACTCGGGGGTATTTTTTTAAACACAGACATTCCTCATTATGGTGAGTTGCATCTATCAATGAATCTATAAATTTGAATTTCTCATATAATGCAAATAATATCTGCTTGTATCGAATATTTGTGCACACTTTTTTTCTCTTTTATGTAATCTCTTAATTTTGATATTATGGATAATATGAAACGAGTTTTTTCTTTCTATAAAAATTATTAAAATTGACTCTAATTGTAAGATTGTACGATGCTATGAGTCATAGATTGCGATGTTAGAACAATATTGTTACATTCGTCATTGAAATCTCCGAATAGTATGAGCAATTCTATTATTTTTTCCCCGATATTTTAATCTTATTTGTCTTATAATTTCATGTTATTTTACATATTGTATTTTATTATTAATAAATTGATAAATTGTGATTAAATAATTAATAATGTAATGAAGCGAAATGATATCTTAACACTTAATGACTCCTTAAATATGATCATCATATTTTAGGGCTGAAGAGAAGACACATGTCAAAAGGCAGATGCACTCAGAGGATCCAAGATTGTCATGGACACCTCGCTTGCAGCTCACCAGTTCTTGTCATCGTTTATTATACTTTATACAATCTAGGTGCCTGCAGACATGCTTTACGTAAATCGCTTTTGACCGTTTAGTGACCGATTTCTGCGACGAGAATTATTCAACCATATGTTTCAGAAAATAGGAAGAATTTCTAAAAATGTATTCCCCCATCATCGTTTCGATTTCTTGCCGCTTTGTCGCGGAAATCGGCTATTTATTAAAAATAATTATTTATGTTATGCTAATTATGTTTTCTCAGCTAATCAGCAATGGATACTTTATTTGAACTCAAAGTAATATTTTACAAGCGTTTCTACAATTCACATTGTTGTTATCATTGAATTGTGTTCATTTGAATTCGCCGAAATAAATACATTAGGTTGTTTCACGTGCATTCGTATCCATTAGTCTCATTAATTTTATTTAATTATAAATATCATGTTTTTTGAAATTTGTTCGTAATATATTTTTAGTACCACAAACGATAAAATAAATCTCTTCGTTTGGAATACCGATTGAAATTTATTTTATTCTCGATTTATCGCTGCTTTAAAAAATAATTTCCTGTCATATATCAATATACGTAAAATAAACTGATTGATACTTAAAAAAAAGACGTAATTACGAAAGATGAGGATTTTGCTGCGAGGTACAACAAATAGAAAACGTTATAGAGACGTCGACGTGTCCGCGATACGTGGGCGTTTCTCCAAAAATAGTCGGCGCTTCCAGCTCTCGAAGTTCTACCGTATATCTACGTAGAACTAAATCGGTATTTTCGACAGCATTCACGAAAATAGCCAACGTGATTAGTACACGTTTCAATACTACGCGGCAATTAGGGCTGCGTTAACGTAAAGCTTTCAAATATTACGTAAGGCTTGCAATTCCTGAAACCGTATGGCTCAAGTATCGAATTACTTGTTTGTCTTATTTGAAACTTCTGAGACATTCTTCACGATATAAATATCCACTTTTGCGTACACGAAGAATCCTCTCTTTTCGCCGTCTTTTTCAACAATTTTTATCTCACGTATTCGCGGAACTAAATATTGAGTTTACTGGCCTTTAAGAAAGCCTTGCACACTTTTGTTCTATATATTTCCTTCACAAATGATCACAGATTTTGATAAATCTGTGATTATTTAATCGTATCAAAACACTCGATATGTCTGCACGCTGCTATTTTGAATATATTTCTTATATAATTGCCAACATTAATGAACAGGTGCGTGCAAGTGTTGAAACTACTAAATGCATATAGATATAATGCATAAATTGACGTATTGCGTTATACAACCGATTAAATGACACTTTGAAAACAGCTGAAAATTATAACAACATTATCCGTTGCTTATAGAGGATTTGTTTAACAATTTTGTTTCTAAAAACTGCACGATTATAGGACTTAAATGTTACGGCAACCGCTCCAGTAATCGCTCGAAATAGATCTAATCGTTCTGGATTCGTGGTACGATATTTGTAAACTTGATGTCTTGAAAGAAGACATATATTCGTGTGCTTATATTAGCGATGTACTTAATCCTTCATTTCTTAATTAGTTTTCTGACAAAAATGCAATAGGACGTCCAATTAATTAGCTGTTTAGTTGCGACAAATTGTTAAATAGCTATAAGTGAACGATGATATTTTGGAACATATAAAATTCTTGTTTGACGATAATTATTTTGATTTCTTGTTTGAATTAGAGTAAGAGTGAAGAAATAATCCGATGAAGTAAAAAATTTCCATGGCGCTTATAAAACTGCAACCCACGAAAAGGCTAAATATGCCGCCTATAGCGGCTGGAAAAATTTTTTTAGATTAAAATATTAAAGTAGTTTATTTATATGTAAAAAAACAGTCGCTTACCTAGCAAATACAATTCATCGGCGATCGGAACTGTATCCATTTCAGCACAGACCTCATAATTCATAAATACTCTTAGAACAGCTTGAGCATCCGTTCTGTTTTGGCTGGAATTAATAATATATATAGGCGTCCATAATATTATTTAAATAACATATTTTGTATTGTTTTATTATAGCTTACTAAAACGGCGAAACATTAAAGTTGTGTTCACCGTTCAACTTGATCGAAGTAGCTTGCGTTGCGTAGGCTACATTCTTGCATGGATATCGACATTCACATGTAGCAGTGTTGTGAATAATCCGAATTTTTTCCTTGTTTGTATAAAGACACTGGAAATCCTCCCACTCACAGATCTATAAATATTATAGAACGCATTATTTTACAGATCTGATAAGAAAAAATAATTTTTAAAAGAACTCAAATTACCCTTAAAGAATAATTCTTGGCCATAGGCGTGTAGTAATATGGCACACAATTGCAGGTTTTAAAAGCAGAATCGATGGAGCAGCTGATAAAGCAATTTGTATACTGATACGTAGGAAAGTATTTCAGATTAATATCTTTATCTACGCATTGCGAAATCTTTGCACCATAAGAATCTTTAACATAATAATTAGCGAGTTTGTGATTGATTGTTGGAATTATGGCAACCTATTGAACAAGATTACAGAATCAGATATTTAGATGTGAAATACTGAAGAAATGCTTGATCAAAACATTCTGCCTTATATTATTAGTATATAGCTGAATCTGAAAAAAATATATGATTACCCGTAATTCCTGTTTTGCTTGTATAATTTGGTGTGTAGATATGTGGCCGATATATTCTAAAGGATGATGAGTGTACATCTATTTAAAAAAAAAAATATATATATATATGTAAATAAATAAATAAATAAATAAAT